AGCGATGTATTAGAAGGAAAATTATCTGATGACTTGAGTAATTTTTTAAGAGAAACTATTAATGAGACTTCGATAAAGAAAGAAAAGTTAATTGTAGCCGATCCAAAACTTGGTAATCATAAAAATTCGATCATACAAGTTACTTAAAAATAATATTTTTATAATTATATTATTACTAAAAATCCATTTAATTTGTAATTTAGGCACTAATATCAGTAAAAAACTCGGAATTCAAGTTCTATCTGAAAAAATTGTTATTGATTTATATCGTGGAATTCGTCAACATCTTGACTCGTTGATTACTGGCATGAATTCTGAAGATATATCTTCTATGGCATTGGGTCTTTCGCATTCTTTATCTCGTCATAAACTTAAATTTTCTCCAGATAAAGTAGATACCATGATTATTCAAGCCATAGGATTACTTGATGATTTGGATAAGGAATTAAATACTTATGCTATGAGAGTTAAAGAATGGTATGGTTGGCATTTTCCGGAAATGTCAAAAATAGTGGTAGATAATCTTGCATATGCTAAAGTAGTTAAAGCCATGGGTATATATATATATATGTATATATATATATGTTTTTTTTTTCTTTCTTTTTTGACTTCCCAATTATTTTTACCAAATGCCTGGTTCTTATCTTATTTAGGTTTTCGTGCAAATGCTCATGAATGCGATCTTTCTGATATACTTCCTGAAGATCTGGAAAAGGAAGTCAAAGAAGCAGCAGAGATATCAATGGGAACTGAAATTTCTGATGAAGATATTAATAATATTATAATGGGTTGTGATCAAGTAATAAGTTTAACTGCCTACCGTACAGAACTTTACGATTATCTAAAAAGTCGCATGATGGCAATTGCTCCTAATTTAACTACTATTGTTGGCGAGTTAGTTGGTGCTAGATTGATTTCACACGCTGGAAGTTTATTAAATCTTGCAAAACATCCATCAAGTACTGTTCAAATTTTGGGTGCTGAAAAGGCTCTGTTCAGAGCTTTGAAAACAAAAAATGCTACTCCGAAATATGGTCTTATATATCATGCGAGTTTAGTTGGTCAAGCTAGTCCTAAAAACAAAGGAAAAGTAATATATTATACTGAATTTTTAATAAATTTAGGAATCAATTTGGGAATCAAACCTAGATAATGATTGACCATTTATTCATTGTCTAATTACAGGTTGCACGTGTGGTTGCGTCAAAATCTTCACTAGCTACTCGCTTTGACGCAATAGCTGATGAAAAGGATTTGATGGCAGAAATGGGTCATAATTGTCGTAAAATAATTGAAACACGATTAAGAATTTTAGAGAAGGGGGGTACTGGTGCAAAGGCTACTGATAAATTTGATAAACAGAAAAAACAAACAAAGTTTGAACTTATTTCGTATGTATTAATGAATCAAAATCAAAGTATTTTTTAGATATACATTTTACGACAATTTAATTTTATTGCAACTTGAATATTAGAACGAAACCGTTATACAATCCTTATGCCGACATTGCAAATGAACCTGTGGAAGCGGGGCCATCTGGTACAAAAGCAGAAGAATCTGAAGATAGTGATGACAGCCAAATGGATGTCGAACCTGAAGATTCAGACAATGAGCCTCAATCTAAATCTGAAGGGAAGAAACCAGTTAAAAAGCCAGAAATCAATGTACAACCAATGCAAATTGATGAATCCACTGCTTCTGAGAAAAAGAAAGAAAAGAAAAAGAAAAAAATCGGAAAAACATGTATCAGATACTGAGGCTTCAAGCCAAGGTCAGGTAGCAATGGAAATTGAACAAACTGAAGAATCCGTTTCAAGTAAAAAGAAAGAAAAGAAAAAGAAAGCTTCCGAAAAACAAGTATCTGAGATTGAACCAACTGAAGAATCTGTTTCAAGTAAAAAGAAAGAAAAGAAAAAGAAAGCTTCCGAAAAACAAGCAGAAGTTGAAACCCCTGACATAACTGAGGAATCTGTTTCAGAGAAAAAGAAAAAGAAAGCTTCCGAAAAACAAGTAGAGGTTGAAACCCCTGATGTAACTGAGGAATCTGTGTCAGAGAAAAAGAAGAAGAAAGCTTCCGAAAAACGAGTAGAGGTTGAAACCCCTGACATATCTGAGGAACCTGTTTCGGAAAAAAAGAAAAAGAAAAAACGAGCAGAGGTTGAAACCCCCGACATAATTGAGGAATCTGTTTCAGAGAAAAAGAAAAAGAAAGCATCCGAAAAACAAGCAGAAATTGAAACCCCTGGCATAACCGAGGAATCTGTTTCAGAGAAAAAGAAAAAGAAAGCATCCGAAAAACAAGCAGAAGCTGAAACCCCTGACATAACCGAGGAATCTGTTTCAGAGAAAAAGAAAAAGAAAGCATCCGAAAAACAAGAAGAAGCTGAGACCCCTGACATAACCGAGGAATCTGTTTCAGAGAAAAAGAAAAAGAAAGCATCCAAAAAGCATGCATCGGATGTTGACATATCAGAGGAATCAAGAGACAAACCTGAAAAAAAAAAGAAACGTAAGACAGAAGCGGAGGAACATGAAAAGAAAAAACATAAAGAGGAAAAAGTTAAATCTTCTAGCAAAGAAAAGGCTGAAGAGGAAAGCGTAGAAGAACAAATCACATCTACAGCCTCTCCAGAACATTCAAAAGCAAAATCAAAGAAACGTAGGGTTACTGAGATAGAAGATGCCACAAAAGAGCAAAGTGTCGAACCACCTAAACCCGAAAAATCAAAGAAATTAAAGGTGTCCAAAGATAAATCCGTAAAAGTTGAAGAAGAGTCGAAGAAAAAAGGAAAGCAAAAAGAAGAGGAACCTGTTAAAGCAGAGTCAAGTAAGGTTGTGCAAAAATCTAAGGTAGAAAGAATTTCAGTATTTTTTGTATTGTTGAGCATCTCTTGAATATAATAGAATTGATGATTTATTTTATTTATACCGTTTTTTAGGAAAAGAAAGAAAAGAAAGATAAAGAGGAAAAGGATTCAGGAAAGAAAGTAAAAGACACAGAAAAGAAGGAAAAGAAAGATAAGAAAAAAGAAAAGAAGGTTAAGGAGTAAAAATCGCGTTTATTAATATATATAACAGACATAAGATATATCCCTTTATTTGTTGTACGTTGTACTTATTGGTTAAATGAGATAATCTACCTCAATTTTATATGTAAGTTTATAAAAAGAAAAAACAGAACATTAACTTGATTAAGAAATTAGTGACTTGAAAGTTTAAACATATATTGTCGCGACTGAAGCTGAAAATTGGATTTATCTTAATAAGATATTTTAAAAATCTTTTGATGCATTATCTTAATTTTTTCTTATAATTAGGACAGAATTTAGGATTAAAGTTTATAGGTGAATTTACCGTTTTAAATAAAGACCTCCAATTTTAGCCTCAGCCGCGACACATATTCTTTAGCATTTGATCGCTTTTTGATAAAAATTTTGGTTCTTAATTAGTTTAAGATCTTTATTCAAAGTTGAAAATTTCATTATATTTTTACATCAAATCTCCTATCTAAACATTTTTTTGATTACCATTTCGTCGTGAATAACGCCCCTGAGGCGTTATTTTGAGGCACAACTAATGATTAATTTTGACGAATGCAAACAATAATTTAATTTTTTGAAATTTTCGCCTAAATTAATTCTTAGCTCTCCAATTTACAATTACTGAGACCACCCATAATCGCCAATCATGAATTATTTCGATTCCCTGGTATTGCCTCTATTAGCGCATTCAATTGGAGTGACAAAATCAAATTATAATGGTGAATCTTGAAGTTTTTTTTTTATGATTATTAGGTAATTGTTGCTACTTTAGATATTTGAAGTAATACAGTAATTGTTGAGGATCATAATTAAAATGAAACGAGAGGTTTATATTTGCCTCCCTAAAACCCACTTATACTTGTTTATTATAAAACCTACCCATAAACCCTAATCCTAACCCTAAAAAAAATGCTAAAAAAGTGCATCCCAAAAATTTGTATTTTTCGATGGCTTGTCTATTTTACACTATCTCTCTTTCATTTTAATCTGTCACAATAATTGATTGAAATTAATTTCCCGATTTTATGTATTAAACTTTAAATATCCTAAATAATCAGGGATGTAAATGACCTAAAATGACCCAAATGACAAATGACTAATTATTAGGTTATTTTGAGATCTAAATAACTTTGATTATTTAGCATATACTGTATTAATTAATATTCTAATATCTCTTAACCAATCAGACTTGTCTACCAAATAAAATTAGTTGCATATATTAAAATCAAAACTTTACTAAGTTATTTGATACGGTCAACTCTAGATATAACGAACTCTGGATATAATAAACCCAATTTTAAAAATTCATAATAGTTTAGTATAATTCCTATAACAAACATTTTGCCAAATCCATCAGCTTATTATAAAGAGTTGACTGAATTTGTATTTTAAATAAAATCGTTCGAAATAACAAATTGCATATACAGTCGACTCTGGATATAATGAACCTCTATATAACAAACTTTTAAATATTAAAATTTTATAATATATAGTTTGGTATAGAAAGTACAATGAGTTTCTAAAAAAATATAATTTTTTATAAATTTTTTTTCTACAGTAGAATTACCAGTTTATTATAGAAAAGTTAAATTTTTATATAAATTAATTTTATTAATTTCATATTTTATATTTATACAACTTTTTTATATAAATATAACAAGGAGAATTTCTACCATTAATATTAAAAAAAAAAAAAAAAACAAGGAGAATTTCTACGTATTATACGTATACGTATTATTCTGTATTACTATATATGGGCTAGGTGCTGTTAAAAAAGGGCTGAAAAGGATCTTCGGAAAATCAATTATAAATCTTATAAGGAAATACAAACTTTAAAAAGCTATACTAACAAATTTTATTAATACAACTACTGTACTTTTGTATCTTAAGTGAAAAAATGATTTTAATCTTATTCTAAATTAATTTATGCAAAAAAATCTCTTGAAAAAATTGTCATTTCGGCTCTTTTTCCAGCACTTAGCCCATATATATATAAATCTTATTTTTAAATTTATTAACATTTTTAAAGTTCTAACAAAAACTGATTCTTTGCAAAATTTTAATATAAACTGTATTTTTTCTCTAAGTTTTAAAATTAAATTTTAATATTAGATAAAGTTAAATTTTGTTGATAGTAAATACATATACTGTACAATTATTAATTAATGTCTATACGTATATATCAAAAATATAAAATAAAAAGTTAAGTATTTAAAATACAAATTTTAATTATTAACTTAGTAAAATTTTGATTTTGATATATCGTTATAATTATTGTAATAACTGAAGCTAAAATTGGTTAATGCTAAAATTTTGATCTATTCTTTATAGTAAATAAATATATAAAATATTTAATACTGCTATTTTTACTTATATAATTTACTATACAGGACTTGAGATATTAATCAAAATTACATATTTTATGCTCTTTACAAATGTTTACCTAACTCTTATTTTATATTTTGTCTATTTTCTATATTAATAGATTAAACAAATATCACAAACCAACACTGGATATTTTAAATGGATTAAATATAACTCAACATGACTCTTATATGTCTCGCCTTTCACTAGTCAGGTTTGTTAGGTGTACGTTTATTTGCAAACCATTTACACGTGTTTAAAAAAAATTTTTTATTCACATATTGAACCTTTCTAAAAATTTATTTCACATAATATGAATCATGAAACTTATTTTCGGACAAAGCTACATGGACAACAATCCTAAGAAAAATATCAAATATAAATACAAATACATACATAATAATATTTATAATTCCATCAGACCACAGTTTATTCATCACTAACAATACGATTATAAACATAAAACGCTTTTAAATATATATATGTATATATATAACAAATTATTTATATGAGATTACATGTCATTCTTGACAAGGTGACAGTAAGCAATCTCAGCGGCATCCTCCTTTGCATCCGCTTTTTTACTGCAAACTTTTCCGGTAAAAGTTAGATTGTTAATCGTAACTTTACAATAAAAACCACCGACTGCGTTTATAAAATCAAAATTTGGACGATCCCAACGTTTTGCTTGAGCTTTCTCATATAGCAAACTAGTGAATCTTTTAGCTTGAACATCATTTCTTATTGGAATATTTTGTGATGAAGAACTTTGATGATGAGGAAATCGTTGAATTGGAGAGTTTAATGCTCGATATGGATGATATCCATTATTAGATATTTGAGATGAAGATGGTAGAATCAAAGATCTATCCGTACTGGTTGATGACGTTGCTGAAAAAGATCTATCTGTACTGGTTGATGTCAATGCTGAAAAAGATCTATCTGTATTGGTTGATGACATTGTTGGAACCAAAGATCGTTCTGTGCTGGTTGATGACATTGTTGGAGCCAAAGATCGTTCCGTACTGGTTGATGACATTGTTGGAACCAAAGAACGTTCTGTACTGGCTGATGTCATTGTTGAAACAAAAGATCGTTCTGTGCTGGCTGATGTCATTGTTGGAACCAAAGATCGTTCTGTACTGGTTGATGTCATGGTTGGAACCAAAGATCGTTCTATACTGGTTGATGCCAGTGTTGAAGTCAAAGATCGATCTGTACTGGTTGATGGCAACGCTGGAATCAAAGATCGATCTGTACTGGTTGATGATAATTGTGGCACAAAAGATCGATCCGTAGTAGTTGAAGACATTGCTTGAATTAAAGATCGATCTGTACTAGTTGATGATAATGGTGACGTCAAAGATTGTTCAGAATTTGTTGGCAACAATGATGCAGTTAATGAATGTATTCTAGATGATTCATGAGAGTCATTCTTAAATTGCAATTCTTCATCATCCAATGAAGGTAATACTAAATTTGCTGTACTAATATCATTTGCGGTTGAAGATAAATTTAATCCTATGTAATTATTTGGGACGATCTGATTGTTCGAATTACTTATCGATAATGTGCTTTTTGTACTCATACTATTAGTTACAGGCAAATTACCAGGTGGAGGTAAAATAGCACGCATATTTTTAACAGGATAAGAATCTGAAGCATTTCTAAGACTTTTTTCTTGAAGTCGTTCTTGCTCACAGAATTCCTGATATAGTAATGAAAAAGCTTTTGCCGCAATACAATCTTTAGCATCAGCCATCTTTAAAAAAACCTACGCCTTCAGCACTAAAAATACGATCACCAACAACACAATCAAAAAAATAACGACCTCTCTCGTCAGTTCTTCCACGGTACTCTGGAGTTGATAAACGTTTCATCTGACAATATTCTAAAAGGATAACCCGAGGCTTTTTTTCCGGATGATCAATTAATTGTTTACGATACCAAATCTCGGATTTTGGCATAAAATTTTCATCTACAGAATGTTTATCAGGTGGTTCAAAATGGTTCATTACATCTTGACCCACAGAATCAGCAATACCAGGATATGCACTTTCATTTACAAGATCTTTGAGAGCAATAAGAGCAACATCTTCTTTCGCTTGTTGTTTACGTACTCTCGGTTGATCAGTTCTATAAACTTTACCAAAGATTTCAAGTTTACAATCAAAACGACCAGAAGTAGGTTCGATCAGAAATTCATACATAGGTAATTTTCCAGTTCGTAATCTTTGATGCAATTCATTCAATATAGATATCGGATTTGGAGTTACTAATTGAATATTGTTATTAATATTGTTATTGTTATTGTTATTGTTATTGTTATTGTTATTGTTAATTGATAATGATTGTTCTAATGGTGTCTGTGAGCTTGGTGTAATTCTCTTCATTAGAGAATCAAATACATCTCTTGCTTCCATTGACTCTTGCTTAACAGGAGCATGTTGAACCGACACATTTGAGAATGAATTCTTCGATTGTTGATCTTGAACTGCAGCGAAAAGTGGCTCGGCTCCTAAATCTTGCAATAGGATATCAACTTGATTATTAGTAACAGCAGAATTCATCGTGATAGTTGAAGGAGATTGATCCATTCTTGTATTTTGGTTTAATAATAAATTTGAATTTGCTTGACCCGCAGAAACTTTGATATCTGCGCTTGTTGAGGATGAAAGTTTTGTTTTTACTTTTGGCATAGTATAATTCTGTATGTTAGATTTTTTATTTTCCCTTATGGTCATGAATAAAAGAAATAATCTGATGGTCGGGAAGGAAAAAAAAAAGTAGCAAAATCTGTCACACCACTGTTGTTTCTGTATTAAGTATGGGTCGATTATTTATGATGAACAGCCACATTCATCATAAAAAGTATGTATGACGGTGTACTTGTTATATTGTATAAATATTTATTTATATAAATTGAAATTGAAATGCGTGACCTCTACGTAATTACGTGCACCTTAATTTTAATAAATAATAAATATCTATGGGACAAGGACTTATTGGATTATTATTATTTATTACATTTTATAGGTCGCGTACGTAGGTGAAAAGTTATATTCGACGAAAATAATGAATAGTAAAATATAATTAACTAATTAACTGATTTTTCGTCCCTTTGTTTTTTTTTTGAATATTAAGAATTGTATATACTGTAATAATTTTCTATTTTTCCATATATTTTATTTGAAATCTAATTTAATGACCATGTTTTGCCTGTTAAATAGCTTCATCATGTATAATTAAAGTTCGCCACGAAAGTATTGGCGAATATTGGCACAAAAATTTTTTAAACATATATGCTGCGCGTCTCATTTGCATATAAATATAGAAACTCTATAGCTATCACAAAGAAAAATACAGTAAAGTCCAAGGATAATAATAAACTAATTGAAGACAAAATAGGAAATTGGGAAAATTCTGTGCATGCATACATAGCATAAATGTGTAGCATACATTATCAAAGTCTCACGAATTCTTAGATGAGCGAGATTGATTTTTCTCTGTTAAGAAACGAGGTTCATTGGCTGAATGCTACTCTTAACTACGAAATTCATAAATATCAGATATACAACGTTTTATACGTATAACGGTTATGCAATTAATCTAGTCCGAACTAAATTATTACTCAGTAGTCTTGGCCTCCCGTGTGATTGGCCACTTGTTAAGCCAAGGGGTTTAAGCAAACCAGGAAAATCCTTATTTTTGTCTTACCTGATTTAGATTCAGGTGCCCTTTTTTAAATATAAATATCGTGCAAATTGGAATTAGCATTATTTCTTATTTTTTTCTTTTTTAATTTGATTAAAATGTCATATTTAACTAAGGATCAACTTGGTAAGTAGATAGAATAGTATCCGAAGATCTTATTTTCTGATTTCTGACGATTCTTTTTTTCTTTTAAAGACCAATACTTAAAAAGTCTAGGTACAAAATCAAGACCAACGTCGATAAGTGCAAAATCAAAAAATTTAACTTCTATAAATGTACCACCTAATAGCCCGTTGAGCCCAACGTCCTCTGGTTCATCACCACTTTCAACTCTAGAAGAACGAAAGATTGGTGTGGTACGCGGTCCGCGGTCACCACCGCTATCGAACTATAATAGTTTGATCAATTCACACATTAATAATAATAATGAAAATTCAGTAGAATTATCCCAAACCGTTAAAGCAACAGACACAATTCCTGAGTTAACTCAAAAACCATCCACGCAAACCTCTTCGATTACATCATCTGCATCATCTTCTAATGAAACCGAAAAAAAGACCCAATATAGGAATATCGATGATATCGTGAACGATCTCTCATATCCATTGGAAACCAAACTTTCCCTTAAACCTAATAATTCATCAGTTAATCCAGAAGACGCTAATACAAAAAAAAACAAACCCAATCGCCAATATTTCTAATTATAAAGATGCACAAGGGGATTACGTCTTATCGGCAGCGCTAAAATCAAATAATAAATTGGATTCACCCAGACCGTCTAATGAATCTCCAATTACCGCTAGTGAGCCTTCTGTTACACCATCAGAAAACAATATACCTATAACTCAAGAGCGACGGAATAGTCGACCTATCTCCTTAACTCCTTCATTAGATTGTGCCGGATGTGGAAAAGCAATTATTGGTAAAGTATTAAATGCAATGGGAAAGAGATGGCATCCGGAACATTTCAACTGTAAGCACTGTGGGATTACTTTGGAATATGTTGCATTTTTTGAAAAGGATGGTTATCCTTATTGCCACTTGGATTATCACGAGTTGTTCAGTCCAAAATGTGGACATTGTGGTAACACTATCGAAGGGGTAAGTTATTATTTAATATTTTAACAAAAAAATTTTTAACATTATTGACTTTTTTCAAAAACAAAAAGCCCTTTATCAACGCACTTGGAAAGTCCTGGCATCAGGGACACTTCTTTTGCCGTGAATGTGGTAATCCATTCGAATCTGGTGGGTTTATGGTTCATGATGGATTCCCGTATTGTGAAAAAGATTGGATTAAAAAGTTTGGTAATTATACCTATTTTACAAATAATCTTTTCAAATTTGTTATATAACTTAAAAATTTCTTTTTTATTAATCGTGAATTTAACAAAACCAGCACCTAAATGCAAAGGATGTCAAGAACCTATCAGAGGTGAATTCACAAATGCTCTAGATGGAATGTGGCACCGTGAATGTTTTGTTTGCAAGGTTTGATTATTTTTCTATTAATTTTCTCTTTAAAGTAGGCGAATGTTTATTAATAATCCTTATAAATTAGGCTTGTAGAATGCCTTTTAATAGTTCGTATTATTATATTCATGAAGGAAACCCTTATTGTGAAACGCACTATCGTGAAAGACTGTCTAATTAATAATACACAATATTGACAATGGAACAATAAAATATAATTTTTTCTAAACAATTTGAAACACTATATATACATATTTATATTTAATGTTAAAATCTTCAATTAGGTAATGGAATATTGGACTAGTGCATCACTGTTTTCTTTGGGAAGATATCTTGTTGGACATTTTTAAAAATATTCATGTATTATAATATTATAGAACATTAGTATTTATTGCAGTTTAGCCTACCGATTTAGTATACCACATAATTTTCACATTATAATTAGTAATTAAACAAAATGATTTTGACTATATTAGGCCATACAAATTTAATAAATTGGTTTTCATAACCCGGCCGGGTCAAATTTCGCAAAATTCTTACTGCTACTTTCATAATTCCTGGAACACCTGATAAAAATTGACCGAATGATTTTTCGGCCGATCCGGTTAAGTTATTGACGTTTATTATTTATGGAGATAGTCTAGCGTTGCCAACAAAATTACGTAATCTTAACCGTCACAAGGAAATAACTACCGGCACTAGTAATTTTTTTTTAATTCACGTACAATACATATAAGATATATGTGATGATTAATCATACGTAATTTTGTTGGCAACGCTAAAGTTATGTACGTACGTACGTACAGTATCCTTAGAAAGTTTAACACTATTACACAAAAATTTTGCGGTTAATTGAATATCGATATTCTTAGTCTTAGGTGATATTGTTTGTTTACTTACATCTATGGACATTGTGCTTGCTGCACTCTCAGAGCTCCATCGACTTTTTCAGTCGCAGCAGGCTATTTCACAAACATCCATAGCTACAGCTTCAAGTAATCACTTACAAAAGAATCTTTTGAAATCAAAAGATAAATATAAAAAAAAAGTTTTCTTGACGGAAAAGAAACTTTATTTTTATATTGCATATGTAAACTCATTGCCCCAACAAGGCGCGACCGTCTTAGAAATTTTGAGACATGAAGTTGAAGCAGAACGAGAAAAGTGTATTAGAGAAGGAAAGGAATATAAAAGAGATAAGGAAACAATAGAGCAAATATTTGGGAATAAACAACATGGCAAAGGTGAAAGTAAGATTGAAAGTAATGACGGAAAAGGTAGACTCATTACTGAGATTTGATATCTTTATAATATGAAAAATAAAGTTATAATAAACTATAATGCCATACAAAGTTAATTTTTTGGTTCTCAACATAAAATTTGAAAAATGACCCGGCAACCCGGCTTTTAATTTTATTTTCAAAAATTTTATATATAAAAAAGCATATAAAAATTTTTATAAACTTATAAAAAAACTTCACCCGGATAGTAAATATAGTCAAAAATTTTTTTACTGCTACTTTCATAATTCCTGGAACACCTGATAAAAATTGACCGAATGATTTTTCGGCCGATCCGGTTAAGTTA